AAAAATATTAGAGGCGTGAGGTTGATACTGACTGCTAAGTCACATAGTGCTTGCCATGAAACTCAGTTCCTATGGTGTAGCAAATAGTGAAACTACCTAGATCTTTGTTGGGCTTCTACAGCCTCTAAGGGAATGGAGGTAGAAGTCTCCCAGTTTGGTCAATTTGCATTATAAAGGCAACTTTTCCTATGTTAGACTTCACAAAGGTACTCTCGTTCTCATGGATTGCTCCTTTTTCTTTTCCAGTCCTCACTACCTTGCACTGCTCAGATTCACCTCACTATTATCAGTCAGTTCCTCATGGGGCCTATTGTTCATGATTTTTTTATGGAAACACCTTGTCTCTTTAATGTATTCCCCATTTAAATTATTAATTCTTTGATGGACGATTTCTTTTGGGCATGCTAAGAATTGGCTTAGAATCCTGGTGGTTATTGCTGTCTTTGGGGGATATTTCCTTAGTTTGACAAGTTTCCTATAGAGTTTTTCTATGGGTTTCCCCATTGTTGGTGATTGTTGGTCCATTAGAAGTCGGGGTGGTTGCACTAACCTGGGTAGTGGGTGTTTGAATTGAGATTATGGCTATTAATTCCTTTAGCATTAACAGTCTCTTAAGTTGGCATGCTTGGATCTACCACAGGTCTATGCATCAATCCATCTTGGGTGGAAGTCATTACACAGAATTGATCCTCAGATTATCTAACTTCTAAGAAATAGGAGTCACTTAAGTTACAAGGATAGTTAATACATCATATTCATGTACGCTAGCTACTTTCTGGATTGTGACTCTCTCATCAGACCATTGAAAATTATTTATGGTCATTTATGCTATGAGTTGGTAAGCTCCATCAAAAGGTTTGGAAATCAATGAACTTTCTGCAGCAGCATCTATGATGAACCTCGGGGAACCTACTAATTAATTGTAAAAGGTTTGAATGATTAACCAACCATGCAGGATATGGTGTGGGCACCTCCTAAACAGTTCATTAAAATCTATCCCATGCCTTATAAATGGATTCTCCATCAACTTGGGTGAATGAGGTAGTATCATTTCTAAGCTTGACAGTCTTAAATAGAAGAAATCATATTTTACTAGAAACTTTTTGGCTAGTTCATTCCACGTTGTGATTGATCCTGGAGTAAAGGAGCTAAGCCACACCTTAGCTTTGTAACTCAGAGAGAAGGAGAAAGCCTCAGCCTAATGGCATCACTAGAGACATTGTTGTACAGAAAAGTGGTACAGAATTCAAGAAATTTGGCTAATTAAAGATTTGGGTCCTCAGAAGATAGTCCCCAAACTGATTATTTTGGACAATCTATATTATGAGAGGTCTTAACGCAAAATTGTTGGCCTCGACAATGGGGTAATTGATGCTCATATGGATTTCCTCAATAGAGGAGTTGGAATAGTCTCTAAATGGTTTCATGATGGGGGTGTTGGGATCAACAACTCAATGGATATTTTAGCGAGTGAATGTGCTCTCCTAAGACGTTCGAAGGTGCGATTGATCTTAGGGTCAAAAGGAGAGAGGTCAGCCTTAGCTCCCCTATGCATAAAAAGACACAGTAAATAAAATTATGCAATAGTTAGTTACACCGACCCACACGAGTTAGTGAACAAACACACAATATGAAAAAAGGAAAATGATACAATTTTTTTTTTGTCCTTTTGCTTTATATATATATATATATATATATGATGACGGGTGCGTGTCGTAGTGCGCTCTCCGGG